ACCTTGAAAAACATCCTTCTCAAGCAGATTCCTCAACCGATCACGGTAACATATTTTATAGACACTTCTGATGGGTATTGCTTCTTCTCCAAGTTGTTTTATTATGAAAAGTGGCATTTTAGTGCTTGAGTGGTTATTGTCCTAACATAGTTCAGGTGGGTAGCTGCGTCAGCATGCGTAGGCTGCAAAGGAACAAGTAAACGTTTATTCCTGCTGACAAGAGAAGAAAGAAAACGTTTTGGCTGTGAAGCCTTCTTCAGGTGTGTCACATGTGAATGTGCCATGGAAATTCACAAAATTGTTCAGTTACAAAGCTTCAGAGACTCTTATTGTATCTTTTCATATTGTATGAATTTGACTTTATCTTATTTTCTTGGGAAGTGTTAATAAGAAGTAGTGTTAGAAGGTGATTTATTCTAAAGGGAAATGTGAAAACAATTTGTTAAGAAAATCAATGAAAAGTTTCTCACAAGACAAACATACTAACTGTCCATGGAAGGGATTACTGTGTCTGTTGTGTTCCTGTAGCTCCAGAATGAGCAGTGTGAGAACACCTTGTACCTGCTGCATGATGATGTGCTCTGTATTATTCAGGTGTATGGGGGTCTCCTCCACATCATGAACAGTAACAGGTGCAGCCTTGAGATCTGTGTGGACTCTTGGCCAAACTTCAACACTGTCATCTGTAGACGTCAAAACAAGGTACAGGATGACAAGAGAGATCTGAAAATCTGCAAAGAGCAAAGACTACAAATAACCTAAATAACAGAGAATTCAGTTATTTTCGCAAAAACCTGTCTACTTACTGTAAAAAACAAGTTTTTAAAAGTCTGATCCATAAACCAGTTTGGAAAAGAGAAATGCCAGATGCTAAATTAGTCAAAGTAGATATACAGTAAAGCCCTTTAGTGTCTGTGAAACGAACAGTTCTTTCCGGACCCTATGCGGACGACACAATCCGAAGAAGTGGGGAAACACTAGGAAAAAGGTCATGCAGGAAGACGGGGATGAAAACAGGGGGGCGTGTCCAAAGTGCGCTGGTGCACAGGGGAGGTGTGGCCGAGGCAAACAATCTAAAAAAACAAGCATAAATCCATAGCCAGGCGATCCATCCAGGAGATTAAACCAGGAACCAGGTGGAAACCGGCAGGGGGAACAGGAACCGAGACTTAAAACCATGACGGAGCCAGACTCATCAGAACCCGGGCTCGCACGATATGGAAATCAGATGCAGAGCCACGATTGGCGACTGCGTCTGGCTTTTAAGGGGGGACAGGAAGGAGACTGGAACAAGGGCCAGGTGCGGGGAATAAGACAAACAAGGAAG